GGAGCGGCGCCGGCAGCCCCCGCCTTTGTTCTCCGGAGCCCGGGGGCTCTGGGCATCCCGTTGGGTGACCCTGCAGGTGTCCCTGCATCCCCGAGCTCCTGTCTGCGCTGCTGCGTTGCGGCCGCTCGCGTTCCCCGGCGCGGCTCAGGTGTGCTGCAATTTGAAGCCACCTGCTCCGAGCCTGGGTCGAGAGGTGCCTGGTGTTGCTGGTGGCTGTGAGCGGCCTTGTTGTGCTGCTGCATCGTTACTGCTGCTGGAAACAGTGGCATATCCAAGCGCTTGCGTGCGTTTTGAGGTCTGTATCCTGCAGAAGGCTGCGCTGCCCGGCTGGAGGGCTGCTCGGAGCGGTGTCCGCGTGCATCTTACGGTGCATGACAAAGCAGATCGCCGTGTGCGAGGGAGCGCAGGGGGAGGAGGGTTGGAGCCCTGCCCGAGCGCCAGGAGCACCTGCTGGGGAGGCTCGTGCCTGGAGCACCCGCGCGAGGCTCCTTTGTCTGTACCCGGGTCCTCCACGGGGCTCCGGCACCGCTCGCCACCTCCTTGCCCAGCCGAGCAGGTAGCAGCACCGTGGTCCTGAGGGGAGGTTGTGGGCTCATCCTGGCATCGCATCCCGCGCACCAATTGCTAAAACAGCAGTTGTGCCAGCACTGCAAAGGGGCCGGGATAAGCTGCGAGGTGCTTGGGACCATGCAGCGAGCGAGGACTGCCAAGTGTCGAGGCCGGTCGTGCGGGAGTCCCTGCGCTGTGTGAACTGGCCCTGCTAGCCCGGGGCTGCGCGCGGCCTTCTCGCTGCTGAGCAACCAGCGCAGCCACCAGCAACTGATGGGCTGTGCTTTTCATCTGCCTGTACAGCGTGTGTGCGTATATACGTATACGCCCCCGCTATTATGTGTATTTGTAAATATGGGTGTTGCTGAAAATACTTATATTTATATAGCTAGTTCCTGATGTGCTGAACAGCTGTTTGGGTACTGTAAGTCCTGGTATGACCTGCTGAGACTGAGGTGCCTGGTAGTGGACACCCCAAGGAATGAAGCTGGAGTCCTTTGCAAATCTGTGCCGGAAAAGAGAGGGAGCTGGTGCTGCTTCTGCTTGCTTGGAGGCTTCCCGTTAGCTTGCAGCTGGTAAAGAGGTGACACGCTCGGTGGGAAGGCACAGAGGGTTGGTGGTCTCTAAGCTTCCAGCAGATGTGCTCAGCAGTAAAGGAAGGAGTTTGGGGACATTTCTTGACCTCTTTTGCTTTAAGCAGATGTAACTTGGACCAAAAATGGGCCTTCTGAAAAATGAAAATCTAGATGAAGTTAAAGGACAAGCACATCACGGGGTGGGTATGATGATCTTAAAAGGTGACTAAGAGGGAGTTTCAACATGTCAGTGAAGATTACCCTCAACGCTGGAGCTGGGAACCTCAGGAGGGCTCCCGGGGCTTGATGAGTTGTCAGGTTGGCAAGGAGTTAATGAGGAGCCCGTGCGGAGGGGGGCCACATCCCTGCCTGGAGCAGCGGGAGGTACCGGCTTCCTCCCCTGCTTCCTCCTGAACCACTGCAGGAAGGTACCAAGGAGGTGTTGGAACAAGCAGCTAAATTTAAGCACAGCGAGTCACAGGATCTTGCTGATTCACCCGGAGCTCGGAGGGCTGAGGGGTTAGGGGAAGCACGTGTGTAAAACGGTGCATCCCAGGGAGCTGCCGAGTAGCCAACGTGGTGCTTAGCAGGGGCGAAAGCAGCGGCGGTGGCTACGGGCTCCTGTGCTCAGCGCCGTAGGATTGTCTGGCTGAAACGTTATTAGCTAAATGTCAGAGGGAAGAGACCGACTGGCATAAAAGATTAAACAGGTTTGAATTCCTGTTAGGGTTTCTTCTCTGCGTGATCAAAACCATCCATGGAAAAACTGTGGGTTTCTTTTTGTTGCTGTTTGTTTGGGGTTATGTTGTTTTCGAAGTAGCTTGCCTTGTTGAAATACTGTCTTAAACTCCGTGGTCGGGCAATGGGAGATGAAGTGTTAGTGCGGAGCGGCAGCACCGAGGTGCGGGGAAGCTCTTTGCTCCTCTCTGAAGCAATGGAAGCTTCGGGCAGCAGAGCTATCGCCAGCACCTTGGTCATAAACGTGGCAGGGGAGGACGGGCACAGAGCTCCAGCGCTCGGCACCGTCCCCGTGGGGTTGCCCCAGGAGACTCAGCCCCGCGCAGGGCTCTGATGGTCTCCGTATCGGGCAGATCCTCTCTTGAAGGGGGCAAAAAGGCATCTGGGTATCAATTTAGAGAGCAAGT